GGAATAACGTCATGTGTCTGCTTATAATTGTCACGATGTTTTCAATTCAGTGCTGTCCAATCATATCTCTATTTGGGCTCTACTCAAACAGTAGAGACGTGGACGAGGTGTCATCTGCTCGCTAAACAGATATTTTCATTTAAGTATAGTAAACAGCTCCTTAACGAACACTTCCGTATGGTTCACAGCTGGTGCGGCTAGATTTTCCTGTTAATAGCATTCCTGCAGTACACAGGACAGGGGCATTTGCCAATGGTGGACACCATTTTCACTCCTTCTCTAAGATGTCATCTCAAATTCTGCTGTTCGCACCATATGTAGTTTTCCTCCATCTCCTAGCAGTAAAACATAGAATAGCTGTGCTTTAAAATGATATCCGATTTTTGCCACCACTGATTTAGCCTGCCAAGACTTCCTTTTGACGAAAGAAGGCCAGAATACGTATTGTCGACGTACAGATAAGTGCCTAATGGAACGGTTTAGAGGTTAAACGGTTCAGCAAATGTGCGATAGTGGAGGCCCAAGTAGTCTTCTTTTAAGAGTCATCCCTGGCGATCCCCTTGTTCCACTTGTTCCACTTGCTTGTAGTCAATGCTCCAAGAAAAGCGTCCTCAAGAATTAATGAAGTGATCCGAGATTCAAAATCATTGTTCCACAATTTGAAGAAAAACTGACAAATAAGCACATCCTTAAAAAATATGTATTTCATTTAGGAAAGAATTGTTGGAAATGGCTTTATAATCTTCGAGGAAGATTAATGAGGTCCTAGTAGTGGTGAAAAATGTCCGATTAGAGGTCACTGAGTGCCCCACATCAATTGACTTTGCGTACTTTTTTTAACTTTCATCAGCGATAGAGGCACCGCTGTGGACGTTGGAGGGCAAAGTGGTTAAAAATTATCCTTCTTTATTGAAGTGTGAGTGATAGTGCAACGGTCAAAGATTCAATTTATCCTGCAGATGTCGGAGATTCGACACCGAATTTCAGTTTCTCTGCTGTGCATCTCTACAGTCCAAGTGGGTTCCTCTAGTGATGTGACGGCAAGCCGACTTAATTTAATGGAAAAGATTTTCAGTGATTCAGCACTATGTAAGTCCGAGGGTAAGGCAGAGGATTCTTCAGTCGAAGGATGACTGGAAGTGTGGAGGGCACGAATCATGAGGCTCCTGCCACTCTGACGCTCTCTTATTCTAGTTAATGAATGCACTTCTGCGAGTAGGATAAACATCGACAGATGGCAGAATTCGTTAAGATGGAATTCTGCTTCGTGAAGGTATCGTCTTAGTCAGATCAGGACAAATGTCTACACTTTACTTCTTAGTAGCGCTGCTGGTGCCTAGTAATATCTAAAATATTCAGCATAACTTCCTTTGCATCTTTTTGGTCCAAAAAGGGATGCCTTCTAAGCAAACAAAATTTTCAGTTTTGCTTTTTAATGCTGCATCTAAATATGACAGAAGAAGCGTGCTTAATACAAGTAGATGTATTTACGCAGACTGACAGAAGAGGGGTTTTTACTTCATGTCTGCTTCTGGCACCTACACCAATCCCGTAATTTTCAATAAGGCCAACCCATGTTGAGTGAGGAAACACCCATAATAGATGGCAATACCATTGAAATTGTGCCCTCCCCACGTCTTTACCCAATCCCTAAGGATTAATTCGTCGGTTGGAGCCTGGCCCACTTCCCTATTTTGAATTGATGAAGTGCCATCACACTTGTATTACTTATTTAAGTAGGCTAAACCACTCCCTCATTGCCAGTCTTAAAATATTTGGAGATGCTGAGTCATTTGAAGGCCACTTATCCATATACTTGGTCAGCTAGTCAATGTGGTGAACAAAAAAATGTCAAATTTAGGTAGATTGTACCGCTTTGCCATGAATCTTCGCATTTTACAAGAGGACAGTGAAGTGTTCTTCCAGATCATAGTACAAGATCCTTTACACTCGACTGCAATTTGACTGCCAAGGTAGCAGCCCATGATAGAACAAGACGCCTTCTAAACTTACAACAAAGGGAATCCTATAATCGTATGCTTTCAAACATTGGGCGCACATGTCTCATTAGGTGAGCCAATTTAATGCAGCGGAGCGACATCATATGGCAAAAAATCCGAAAAGCACTCAGGTACTTGGCTTCACCGCATTAAATTGACAACGCAGCAATGGTACAAGTCAAAAGACCCTTTAGAATGCCTTTGTAGGGCTCTACCTTTCTCTAAATTAACAACAGGGCTGTTTTCTGATCCTCCCACTTGTAATTCTTTGGACGTTTGCCTATTCCCTTGTTTTATTTGCCATGGACTTAGGGCTCCGATTTTGTACTTTCTCCAAGCAGCCTGGTCTCTGAGCTATGCTGGTAGCCCCATCCCTTGGCAAGTTTTGGTCATTATGGAAGTTTGGGGCACTACACACCATAAATACATCATTAGCTGAAAGTGGGACAAAGTATCGACGAACATCAACCCGATGGCCAAAACAATTTAGCTGAACTCCTGATTTGGTGGAATTATCATTCTATTCGAGTTTATGTTTCAAACTTAAATTTATAAATGGCATTGCGTGAGCTTGTTCATAACTGTCGTCGCCTCGGTAGCCAATTTCGCCCCGCCCAACAATCCCCTTACCCAGTCTGAATAGGAATTTCACCCACTTGAGCATTAATTTTTGCGTTTGTTTGTTGAGATGGTTATTGGAGCATAAATTTTATACAAATGCAGGAAATGCAATGAATTAATTTTCAACTCCCATTTTCATTGCTGAAGCTTATTAAATCACTCTGGGCTACCAGGTAATGATTGCATCGTTGTAGAGCTAATTACAAAAGCTGATTTGCGGGTGCACCACATCGGGAGCACCTGATTGCCTCTGACTTAATGGCTGGTACCACTTATGCAGGAGGCTCGGAGACATCAAACCCAGAACCACTCAGAAATCGGTTGGGGATTTTGCACTTGCCGAAAGTTTGGGGTAACTTTCTGTGACAGTGGGCGGAAAAAATAGAATAGCCCATTTGCTTTAATCAAGCCGCCTGGAGGCGGGTCAACAAAGCTGGTCTTCCTCCAGCATCAAAGAGTGCATTAGGGAGCATTAGCTTTCGTGCGTAAACATTTGATTTAATTTCTGAAAACTTTATCAGAAAATGAAAGGGAATTTTTCAATTAGAGGCTTTAGGGCAAAAAACTTTTTCTGACTTTAAGTCAACATGGTAACAGAGCAGTGGCAAATCGGAACGGGAAGTGAGTCATCCGGGCGAATGCTTGAGATGCGGTTCTAGATTTAAAATCTAAATTTACTGTCTCCTCCATTTCAATGCCCAATAAATGACAAATTTTCTTTTCGCTTGTAAAATGTGGTTTCCTTACTTCACTCCGGTTTCAGACACCCGGATCTAAGAGACTGATTTGAGGAATTGGACCCGGTTATTACCCATCGAGCAGAGCTTGTGGAAATATGAGGCTAAAGTCACCAAATTGAGCGATTTGTGACCTGACAAGGAGTGGTAACGGAAGCATTAACTGCATCAATGTGGTCTCAACACCACTCGCAGCAAACGTCAAGGGGCACAGTACCCACTCAAGTGAGAAGGAAAACCCTCTCTTATGCCCTCAATTTTTTTGCACACGAGCAATATCGTCCTCAAATCTGTCTGATTACGGATTTTCTCTGATGTGCTTTGATGTAATTAATGGTCACCAACTCTACCCTGCCTTCTAGTGGATGAATCGAATGTTGATGCTCCAACAAACAACTGCGTATCAAATCACACAGATGATGCCCGCAACAAAATGATTTCGACTTAGTGGGATATTTCCTTCTCCTCTCCTCTTTCATCATTTTTGTAGCCCTAGAATCAGAAAGATTGGTACGGGGTGGACAACTTGCTCTGCGCAGTGAGGAAGAATTCGAAGACTGTTAAGGTAATCAGCCAAACTGCATTTAAAAAGTGCATTCCTTTTTCTTTGCGTCAACGCTTTCGTTTATCTGCTGATTTGCCTTCAAATCGTAGCAGTAAGCTGGCCCTTTGGATCTCTGTTGAATTTCCTAAAGAAACGAAGATGAAGATACGCGGCGTCAGATGCATCGCACGTCTCTGTAGCAGATCAAACAGATTATTTCGTCCAGTCACGAATGTCACTTTTGAAATGTGTCTGGATTAGTCCTATTAAGTTGAATTTGGGGACTTCATGGATGGTCACTCAACCGGATTGAATGTCTTAATGGCAAAAATTTAAACTCACACCCTAACAATAACGTAGACATCGATGCAGAAGATGTCCGTCGACTCCGATATACGACTTGGTGTTGATCCACAACTACTCTTGGTGTCAGGTAACGTTGGATGTTTCCTTCTTTCCTACTTA